TACAGTGGCAGGTGTTTGTGTTCTGCAGGAAGTGAGGCCTGAGAGATGATATCTAACCTCCTGTTAGCCTGATATCCTATAAATGACAATGGCCAATAGCAGCACCCTAGGGAATAAAAGGAGAAGAGAATAACAGCATGTTAAGCATGTAGTAATGGTTTCCCAGGGTCTTTCCACCAGGTTTTCTGCAGCATCCAATCTGCAGCTCAGAGTTCTACGATGTAAAAATATAGTAATTTGTATCATATCTACATGGTTAGACCCCGACATTGATACTTTTTGTGACAAAGAACACGATTCACCAAGAATCAAAATATAGATGTTTCTTTCTTCAAAAGTTAATTCAGACTCACAAATACCAGAATAATTTGATGAAAGCCTGGAGAATTTTAGGGAAACAGAAACTAAAAAGCAAGAGAGAGGGAACTTCTCAGCCTGCCCTGACCTCATATTCCCTTGTCTGCACCCCACCCATTTGACACTGTTGAGCTGAAATTGGATCAGTAATACGATAAACTGCAAACTAGGTGAGGTTATGCCAGTAGTACAGGCAATCATCCTGTCTTAGCTAAACCATTTTCAGAGGAGAAAGAGGAAGGACTAGGAAGACCTTTGTGAAGTGCACAAGTATATCAGTGCTTTTATAGTCCCGTTACTGGAAGCCCTACACATGTTTCAGTTGATAAGGCAATCACAAGGCTTTCATTCTCATCTGAATAAGAACATTTAATCTTTACAACATAAAGTCCCATGTGCTAAATTAAATTTCCTGCCAGCTCAGCAAACAGTTTTGCCACTTTGAACTGCATTGTGCATGCTTTCCTTTCATCACAGGATGCGTTCTGTCTCGGCATCAACAGCCAAGAGGGGAAAGACCAGTCTGCTCCAGCACAAGCATCAATATGGTGTGAAATTCAGAACCACCATCAACCAGCAGGCAACTGGGGTGGGATGCAAATGACCAAGCAAAGGTACCTGCAATGGGGGTAGCTGTGTCTGAATAGTCACTGCAGATTCCTTCAACTGTCCACAGAGATAAAAGGCTACTTGGTTGGTACAGTGCAGTTCATCTGACACAAGCAGCTGGGCAGACAACATCCTAAAAGTGCCTCTTTCTCTGTATTGGTGTTTAAGGATATGTGGAGAACTAGCTCAGGTGTAGACAGCCACATTGCAAATCTCTGTGATCAGGAAGGAAGAATCTGACTTTCAGTTCCCTCACAGTTCTAGCTAATAGAATTCTTTGCCACAGTAGGTTTGGGGATGCTTCTCTATTTCCCCTGCTGCAGCTCACTGGTCTATGAGTGTTTCAAAATGTTTCATGCTTATAGGCTAAATTTTGCATATTCATTCAAGAGCCATATAAAAACCTAAAGCAGAGAAAGCTGGTCATATTTTTCTTTCACGCAAAGAGAGGGAAGAGGGGGAAGAAGCTGATTGCACTATTGAAAAAGCAGAGGTGTTTTTTTCATGTCATATATTCTCAACAAATTTAAAACATTACATCTTGGTAAAGTTCACCAAATATTTGTGCTGATTTTGTAACGAAGTTTTAACTGGTTTGATTATTTGTTAAACTTTCCTTATTTACATTTTTACTACACAGGAGTGGGTGACAGTTGTGATTTAAGAAGATCTTAAACAGAAGTTCTATGGATGCTACAGTACAAAGCAAAAGGAAGACTGGGGGAGCAATACACAGTGAAAAAAATTTGTTTGGGAACAGAAATTCAGTTGCCTTTGGTTAGGTCTATTCATAGCTTAGTTCCTTCCCAGCTTTTCTTGCATCATTTGGAGTTCATATCATTTTAGAGATTTGCTGACACAGATTCAAAATACACGGATTTTGGCTATTAAAATCAAACTCAAAAATATACTTTTCTTTGTTATACCAGAGAAACATCACAGGAAGATGAGTTTGACCTATAAACCTCAATTCCTCTGTATACCAAACTCTAGCCTTACTTGATCAGAATAACTGAACATGCCTGAAGAAGAAAAGCTTAATTTGCTATAAGAAGGAATTAAATGTGTATAAACAGACACTAGGTTTTGGCAGGCTATCCTCTTTCCTAATCCTCAGTATTTCCCCAGTTACTATACAGCCCAATCATTCTACATAAGTTGTTTTTATTAACACTATAAGAGGCCATCTGTCTGCAAATACCCAGTCAAATAATAGAAACCAACACGAAAATAATCAAATTCAGCTACTGACAGATCTAAAAGATTTGTGTGCAGAATAAATATTTACTTTTTAGGCACTTCAATATCATTCTGGGAGTTTTCCAAGCATTTATCATTTCAGGGTGGCAGGGTAACAATTGCTTCTCCACCCATTTCAAGAATTTTTACTTTCAATCATCAAAAATGATGTAACATGAGGCTTTTCCAATATGCATTATGTTATCACACCCCCAAAATACTGAGCATGCTGTGAGTGTTACAACCTTATAGAAAATAAAAAGGTGCATTTTGATCACAAAAATTTTATCTCTCTTAGAAATGTCTAAAAGATTGGAGTTCCTCTACAAAACTATGGCTGCAAAAATGGGCAGGTCCTCTGGATGGGTTCCCTAAATCAGTTTAGATGGATTTAGTTTAGTAATCTAAACTAAAATACTTGGATTAACTGAACAGTTTCTGTTGAGAACTGTTTTGGATTTGGTTTTAAACACACTGATTTGCATAGAAGCTTCCTTTAGTAGTTTCAGTTTGAAATCAGCATTGTTTGCCATAATCAATATTCCTATAGAAGACAAGGAAGAAGAGGCAGAAAAATGAGGACGCTGCATAGAATAATCCTCTGGCCAGTGCTAGAAAATATAGCAACTTGTATCCTATGGGTCACAACAACCACATGCAGTGCTACAGGGGGAAGAGCATCTGGAAAGCTGGCCAGTGGAAGAGGACCTGTGGGCGTTGGTGGACAGCAGCTGAACATGAGCCAGCAGTGTGTCCAGCTGGCCAAGAGGGCCAGAGGCATCCTGGCTTGGATCAGAAACTGTGTGACCAACAGGGCTAGGGCAGTGATTGCCCCCCTGTACTCGGCACTGGTGAGGCCACACCGTGAATACTGTGTCCAGTTTCAGGCCCTTCGCTGCAAGAAAGACATTGAGGTGCTGGAACATGTCCAGAGAAGGGACACGGAGCTGGTGACGGGCCTGGAGCACAAGTCCTATAAGGAGCAGCTGAGGGAGCTGGATCGTTTAGCCTGGAGCAAAGGAGGCTCAGGGAGGCCTTATCACTCTCCACAACTTCCTGAAAGGAGGCTGTAGCCAGGTGGGGGTCAGTTACTTCTCCCAGGTAACAAGTGTTCAAAAAACATGTGGGTGTGGCACTTGGGGACATGATTTAGTAGTGAACACAGTGGTGCTGGGTTAATAGTTGGATTTCATGATATTAGAGGTCTTTTGCCATCTTGACGACTCTATGATATTATGTCATTATTCTCTTCCATCCAATGTTTTCATGGGGACAGAAGAGATTGAAAGGATTAACTAGGAGTTGCAACAGATCTCTGAGCAATGAACATAACAAAATGCATGCCAGTGTGGAAGAGAGTGGTTTCCCTTCCTGTTCAACAGTCTAAGAAATGATGATGATCCAATGTCGCGTAGCTATTTTTCAGCTACCCCTCGTGTTTCACCACTGCTCAAGCAGATGCCTAAGAGAGAGGAATACCCACTTACCCTGTGAAAGAAACAGCTGACAGTCACAGTGCCTCCTCCCAGGGAAGGCTGTTGCTGCACTGCACAAAAACAGCTGTAGAGCTGTGCACTTCCCACTTTGCCACTTGTAGGCTGGAGCTCCCAGCCCGTTCGTAGAGCAGTTACTTGTGTTTGGCCCTGATGCTGGAAGGTAAACATCCAGAAATGTTGCAAGCGCATATGATTGCTCTGTTTCCTTGATTTTCACCAACTTGCCTCAAAACTGAATATGCCTCAGGCCATAATGATTCTAACCTGTAATCGTAGGTTTAAATAAAATGTCAAAATAAATTAAAAGCAGCTGATCACAATGAAAGACAATTTAATATGATGAAGAAAGGTCTGAAGTCCCTTTATGGAAATGGACTAGATTGCCTCTTTAATGATTATCTCTGCTTGAACAGAGAGATGCTTTAAATAAAAGCCTGTCTTTTCTTAGAAAGCCCTGCCTTCAAAATATATTTCTTGTTCTTAAGAAGATAAAATATACAGGAGGAATATCTTTTCATAACTATCTTACACTGTAGATTTATGATATACTGAGAACAATGACCACGGTAACTAAAAAGGTACACATACAACAGGTTTGTATAAAAAAATTACATAAATGTTTGCAATATGGTCTGAAGTACTACCATTACTGCTTAGGGAACTAAAACTTTTCACCAGGGATCACTACAACTGCCAAAAAATCAACTATTATGTAATAGCTGAAAAAAAGACAGAGAAAGAGGGAGAGGGAAAAACCCCCACTTTGCATCTCCTCGTGGTCCCTGGAGTATCTGTCCAGACCAGATGTTAGGAGGGAAGGATGTGCTTGTACAGCCTGCTGCACAACAAATGACAAAAGGATTATGCTTCTTACAATAGGGTAAGAAGTAAAGAGGTGTCAGAAATGCTGGGGAACTCATGCTCATGGAAGGCAACGGGGAGAAAGAAACTTCTGTGCTTAGCTGTAGGTCTCACCTTCAAAAGATGAGGGACTGGTATCCTGGCTGTGATGTTTGGTAAATCAACTCCTCTCTTTTTGTGCCTAGCTTAAGCCAAATTGCAATTTTAACTCATTCGGAGTCATGTTAAAAATTGACTCATTCATTTTAAAATCAAATAGTCATATTAATAGAAATTAGTTATTATATGTTGCTATACAATAATGTAGTTGTTATAAACTATATTTGTATCTGCTTTGCAGATGAAAAAAAAGTGGAAAACAGTTCTTCAACTACAAAAACTACACTAATAAAACATATTCCACTTCGTGCTTAAGCTATACTGTTCTAAGGCACTTACCACCCACGTAGCTCAGTAGAGTGAACTTCAGAGCACAGAGAGGGACCAGCAATAAAAAAAGCTCTTCAGCTGTTAAAGCCACACACCATTTTGCTGGGCCTGAAAAAAGGATGGACAAGTAGCAGGAGAGTTAATGTCAGGAAATAATAATAACACTAATACTTCACTAATTACTCTTTTCCTCTGCACTCGATCAAAAGTGAGATTAGGACTGCAGCTAACCAAAAAATAAACCCCAAAAATTTATGTTAAGAATAAGAGGATGCATCTGTTTCCTGCTTTAGCCAGATCTGCTCACCCTCGCCATCAGAATAGCTGCACCGAGACGCGAAGTTCTGAAGATTAAAGCTGAGGGTCACTATTTTTACTCAGAAGAGCTCAAGAAAATGCGTAAGAGTAGTTCATTATGTCATCTCTGCCTGTGACAATGCAGAAGTACTGCCAAATGGGGAAACTCCTAATTGTGAAAAGCTCATCTGAGTGAATGCAAGTAAGAGATTAAGGAAATATCTGTCCCAAAAGAGTTCTTTACTCCATTTATGGAAGTCAAAAAGACAAGCTTACCATGGATTTAACTAAGCACAGCATTGACATTTGGCTTTAGCAGGACTTTGCCAGTATGTCCAGTGTGTCTCTGTTCCCACAGTGAAAAGTATTTTCTGTATTTTAGAGCTGAAAAAGAGATATTTTGAAAAAGGACTCCTGCATTTAATTTTTCTTTCACATATCTCCAGTTTTGGCCCATTGGCAAGATTTCTTAAAAGATGAAAATTGCTGCAGAAATTATCAGAGTGGGAATACCTAGTCACACTGACAACTTATAACCATCTGTTACTGGTTACTCATGAGTGGCTGGAGTCCCCTTTGTGCTAAGCACTGCATGTATGGATAGAAAATGAGAAAGTGCCTGCCCCAAATAGCTCAGAACAGACAGAGCTAAGATTTGCCCAAGACTGCAAGATGTACACAGTAGAATTGGGAAATGAGCCCAGGTTCTCTCATTTCAAATTCAGTTCCAATTCATCTTTCTATCTGAAATAGATTAGAAACTGTCCTATGTCTATAAGGAAAAAACATCTGTATCACTGACAAATATGCACAGGGTATTCTATGGCTAAACACAGGAGGATGTACAGATGCCGTGAACAAAAAGACTGAATTATTATTTAAGCTGAATGAAGGTGGAGGCTCTGATACTGCCTGCACTGTTCCAAGTGACAGCAGCAGAAGTAATCACTTTGTTTCAAACAGACTTGTCTCCCTGTGAAGCCTCTTGTCCTAGAAGAAATAAGTGTGGATTTTACCATCCTATTTTTCCCTTCCCTAGTATACACCCCAACTTTCTATCATTCTAGCAAATTTCTGTCTTTGAGATGCCTGAACCAGATTTCTACAAATCTGATATTTACAGAAGAAAAATACCTTTGGAACCCTTTTTAGTTGTCTCGTTTGGGTTTTGGTGGGTTTTTTTGTCTAATATCTCAGGATCTGGTTAGGCAGTGGGACAATCTGAGTAGGGTGGAAGAAAGGCAGAAAAGATCCCTGCTCAAACAAACAGCCTGTTCTTGCCCCTCACTGGTCTCTTGCCCAAAAGACCTGCTAATATCACAGAGTCTATGTTGTAGACATAGATTCAGGACATCTTGAACAATTAACAGACAGCGACTGGAGTTACTACCCTCCTAATTCAGACATTCAGTTAGATGGAACAAAATCCAGCCCAGGTATATGCCTGGATTACTGTTATATATGCCCCATCCCTGGAAGTGTTCAAGGCCAGGTTGGATGGAGCTCTGAGAACCTGGTCTAGTGGAAGGTGTCCCTGCCCATGGTAGGGGGGTTGGAACTGGACGATCTGTCTTTAGGGTCTCTTCCAACCCAAACCATTCTATGATTCTATTGGAGCCTCAGAGACATGGAGGTGCAGGAAGTTCAGAGAAGCAACATGCAGGAATTGCATGTATTGGTGCAGTGATTCCTTCTGTAGCAGGCAAACAGCAAGAGCTGTTGTGTGCCTGTATTTGTCCTACTGATTTGCAATCAGGTCTGTTCCTCAAAATCCTTCCATACAGGAACATAGAGGAGGTCATAGCTACGACTGCAGGACAGGAGCCATGGCAGTGACCATGCAACTGCTCTGTGCTATGTCTGCCTTCATGTTGTACCACCACTAATTCCAGAGCACAGGAAGTACTCACACAGACCTCTTTTACCCTAACTTTGCAAGGAATTAGTTTTTGGAGTGAAATAGCACTTAATTGTAATGTAAATGAAAAACTGTGGAAGGTAGTGCCTGGGTTTTCGACAGCAGGATTGACAGTGGTTACTTTTGTCCTTTCAATGAAAGTGATGTAATTAGGGAAAGCACGGTCAGATTGAGTTTGCTTTACTGAAGGAGGCAGAACTACAGTGATGAGCACATAATAGAGCAAGGGAAAATCAGCTCCCCTCCACAGGTCATGCAGCACTCACGGTGTCGTCTTTGAACTATTTTACAAGGTATTTTGAATAACGCCTTACACATATGACTGGAATAAAACATAGGAATCTTAACACTACACTGAGTGGATTTTGTAAGTGGTTAACTCATAAATCCTCTTAGTCAAACAAATGTATCCAGGCTGAAGATTGAGATTGTTTTTAGGAATTTTTTTTAAAGTCACCACTGCCGAATTTCAACCGTAAGGGAAAGTGTTATATGTGCAGTTTCTAATGTTACTGCTTAGCCTGCAATGAGATTATGGCATTGTTAAAATGAAGGAATTCCTGTTCCGTGGTGTTGTTTTTGGCTGATCCTGTATTGTGAGTTAACTTCATGTGATGTATTTTCTTTAGAACAAATTTCCTTCAATTCAGCAGCAGAGGTTCAAGCTGCTCTGCTAAGAGTTTGTGACATTTTTTTGGAAGTAATTATGAACTCGCCAATGCAAAGTTAACAGATTGTTGAGAACACTCCCTTGGGAATGACGTTTCTAATTTTTCTTTATCCTTTATCTTTTGTTTATACTCTTTTCCCTTTCAAGACTCTATCTTTCCAGCCCAGAAAAACTGTTGTGTGGAGCTTTTGACATAATCCTAGAGAGCTGCAGAAGAACCCAGAGCAGGGAAGAAAAATCTAATTATCTGCTGAAACAGAGGCCTTGAGCAACAGAGATTCAAGAGCAAACCTGGAGTTACTGGTTACTGTAGACTCTGTTCCTGGCTCATTTGCAAACTCATTGGATAATCATAGTCAGTTGGTTACAATGGGGTATTTCAGACCCAGCCATAAAGATAATCAACAAATTGTCAGTGGTGCAATTGGTGCAGAACAACCTGCAGGTCACCTGTGGAATTATCTCTAAACAAAAATAGGTTTGTGTTCCTATGCTTCACAAAGGGCAGAAACAGCCAACACAGTGTAAAACTGGAATGAACAGAGTCATCTGGATCATGACAAGAGTATGCCATTAAGTATTTAGCCAGTGGGAAGAGATATGTTATTGTAGATAACATAGCTAAATCACCAGTCTTGGTAATTACAGGTAAGAAATCAGTATAGTCAGCCAAGCAGTGGAGAAAAATGGATTAAAATAATGCAGCATCAGTAAGAACAAGTAGTGACAAATTCTTTTGCTTTCAAGCTGTTTATTTTTCTTTGAAGTTCTTTATATTTTATAGGAATGGACCATTTTAAAAAATTCTGATTGGCTTACTTAATACAAATGCCTGTCCAAGCCTCTTCAAATTCATTGAGAAAGGCAAAGAGGATTAGTTAAATTAAAAACACCAATGGAAACAGCCAATGAATGACCTTGTCTTATAGTCCTGTTCAAACATACACCTTCCTTAACAAGTGCAGTAAACTGCAGCTTTGAATTAGATACAGAAAGAAATATCCCTCCAGAAAAGTAGGATTTAGCTCAGCTGTGAAAGCTGCTCTCTTTAATGTGGCAACAACAGGAATACAAGGGCTTCACATTCCCCTTTTATATGTTTAACCTTTGACAAAAAGGTTAAACACTTTCCTCACAACTGACTCACATCAGGAAACGCAAGAACTCTACTCTCCAGATGAAGCCTGGCTGGCTGAAAATGCAATGTCAGCGTCTAAGTGCATTAAAACAAGGATTCCTTGTGCAGTTCCTGGTACTGCTACAGGGGCAGGAAGTGGGTCAGCAAGAAGGTCTTTTACAGAGAGGAGAGAGATGAAACGGTGACAGGAACAATAAGGAAGTTCAGGGTGGAGGACGAATTGGCTCCAATTACAAACATCTCACTGAGATCTATTTTAAATACGTTGATGTATTAAAATCCCCCTAGCAACATAGCAGGAAAGTTTACAAAACATTAAATAGAATATCTATGAAAGCTTTCCGTGTTTTCCATTCTTTGTCTTACAGATATTTTAGGGCCGGATTCTCATCTGGTGTCAATATGACTAATTCCCTTCGCTTGGCTGATGAATGTAAGTTCAGGTCTGGGTAGCTGTGTTGGTTTATTCTTTGGAAGACTGGTGGCCAAACTCCTGAACCGTAGCAGCTCCAAAGTCAGCCAAATCTGCAAGTACTTAGTACATCAAAAATTTAGGGCTGGGGACCAGGTAGGGTCATTGATTCTTACTTAGTGCCCTAACTGGTGTGTTCTTCAGGATAAATACAGGCTCTGTGAGGTGGGACAGAGTTGCTTGTGGAGTGCTGAAGAACAAAGGCTGCAGGAAAAGAGGAAGTGCTGAGCACTGACATCTACTCAGGATAAAGCATAAAGAAATTATTGGAGGTGAATCCAAGGGTGACTCCTTACCTTTTCTTAATATTTGGAGAGATCACCTACACAGGTAAGAGTGCACCTCCAGGACCCAGCATAGAAAGACCCAGAAGTGCAGTTCCTCTACTTGGAGTATGTTGAAGAATGAGAAGAGTAATTGTTAAGAACATGGTAATCAGCATCTGGAAGTAAGGTCTGCCTGCATCCATGGACAGACCATGCCTGGTATGACAGCCAGGCAATAGAGATCCTGAAAAGGTGTTGGTGGAGGTAGGTGGTGCTACTCCCCTTCTGCATACTCTGTGAG